TCTAGATGAATGGGAACAGACGAAGGTCTGCTGTAACTGGACATTGTGATGTGTTACTGTTTTGTTGAAGAACTCAATTGGTCTGACCATCAAGTAAATGAAGGGCGAAACAGAGGATGAGGTCAGGGGTGAAACTGTCCAGACTGTTGAAGAAAGGTGTCCAGCATGGTCAGTCTGGAGTTGGAGGTCACGGCTGGAATGATGCCAATGGCCACAGGTGCTGAGTTCTCCCCCACACCTCCCCACCTTTGTACTCCATGATGAGATGAAACCCAATCCCATTTTGTGCTGTCGTGAATGACAGAGAAGGCAACTGACCAAAGAAGGGATGGAATCCCACTGGACCACCAACAAACTGGACCCTGGAAAACATCCCATGCCACTGTGAATATCCCGTGGACACCGTGAAAGGAAGGAAGAACGACCCCACCCACGGACCGACACACGAACCAAGCCATGAAGGATCACGAATCGACCCAGAGGATCACATGACGACGAAAAGGAAGGAAACGACGGATTAAAGCCGACCAGAGCCGACACATGACATGACCAGCCGGAACGACCAGACCGAGGACCACGAGCCACAACCGATCCAGGACCGAGAACACCAAAATACAAAATGACACGGAAGACAATGGGACGACCCCAGGTATGGACCCGAGGAAGACCGGCCGCACCAGCCCGAAAGGACACGAGAAAAGAAGACCGGACCGATGATCCTCGAGAAGAATCACAACCCATTGAACAGCCAACCGGACAGCCGACCCGACCAAGGATCATCCAACCAACGGAACGCAGGAAGAACGAAGGACCAACCGATCAGACCACGACGACACCGGAAATACAATTCAGCGATCCCGACACAATGGAAGACCCGAACCGACAATCAGCACACGAAGAACGACCAACACAGCCCAGAATGACGCGAACCCCGGAAACGGAAAGGAAAGCCGGACCCCAGCCCCTGGTGGAGCCGGACCGGAACGGACGGAAATATAACGGAAGGAACCAGACCGAATGGAATCCCCAACGATCCAACGGAGCCGAACGAGACAACCGATGGACCGGAGACCCAACTGGAGGAACAGGATCCAGGGCCAGCATGGACCAATATGGACCAGCCATGAACACAGGACCGTGATGGACGGAATGGCCAACCAACCCAAAGATCTGGGGAAAGATGGCCACACCCACAACGGCCAATCACACACACACACACAACATTGACCAGGATTGACCAGCTGACCCACACGGATCCAGCCACCAGGACATGCCCAACATGGAACCCATGAACGGACCAGACAGACGCCCCGACCACAACTGACCGAGCCCCACACATGACCCAGACACCCCAGACGGCGGCCAGGAGGCATGGAGTGGAGGAATGGATGGAGGAATGGAGGGAATGGAAGGAGGAAGGAAGGAGGAAGGAATGGAAGGAGGAGGAATGGAGGAATGGAGGAGGATGGACGGAAGGAGGAAGGATGGAGGAATGGATAAGGAAGGAAGGAGGAGTGGAATGAGGAGGAAGGAGGAGGAAGGAAGGAGAAGGAGGAATGGAATGGAAGAAGGAAGGAAGGAGGAATGGAGGAGGAGGAGGAAGAAGGAGGTGGAGGTGGAGGAAGAGGATGAGGAGAGGAGGAGGAGAGGGAGGAGGAGGAAGGAGGAAAGGAGGAGGAAGGAGGAAGGAAGGAAGGAGGAAGGAGGAAGGAGGAAGGAGGAAGGAAGGAAGGAAGGAGGAAGGAGGAAGGAAGGAGGGAGGAGGAAGGAAGGAAGGAAGGAGGAAGGAAGGAAGGAGGAAGGAAGGGAGGAAGGAGGAGGAAGGAGGAAGGAGGAGGAAGGAAGGAGGAAGGAATGGAGGAAGGAGGAAGGATGGAGGAAGGGAGGGAAGGAAGGAGGAAGGAAGGAAGGAGGAATGGAGGAATGGAAGGAAGGAGGAAGGAAGGAGGAAGGAAGGAGGAAGGAAGGAGGAAGGAAAGGAGGAAGGGAGGAAGGAGGAAGGAGGAGGAAGGAAGGAGGAAGGAAGGAAGGAAGGAAGGAAGGAAGGAAGGAAGGAAGGAAGGAAGGAAGGAGGAGGAAGAAGGAAGGAAGGAAGAAAGGAAGGAAGGAAGGGAAGGAAGGAGGAAGGAAAGAAGGAAGGAAGGAAGGAAGGAAGGAAAAGGAAGGATGGAAGGAAGGAAGGAAGGAAGAAGGAATGGAGGAATGGAAGGAAGGGAGGAAGGAATGGAAGGGAGGAAGGAAGGAGAGGGTGGAAGGAGAGGAGGTGGAGGATCAAAGAAGTGGAAATGGACACGACCAGAATGGACACAGAAGGATGGAAGGAGCTGGACTGAGGAGGACTACGGGACCAGACAGGGAGGAGACACATGGATCCCCAGGAAGACATGAAGCCACTGGATACAGGAGGACCAGATTGGATGGACACCAGGAACGAGGTCTTGGAGATGGAGTGATCCCAAAATAGAGACCAGGAATCATGAGAATCCACATCCACATGACAGTCTCTACATGATCCACACACATTGGCCCACATGGACACCAGACTCCATGAAACCCTGTACACAATAAATGGACTAACGAGACACAGAGATGGACACCCCGACCATGACCGAGACAAATGAGACCAGGACACACACAGGAATGAACTGAAAAGGATCGCCACACACGGACAGATCCATGGAGAAACCAACTGACACAACAGCATGGAACACAGCACAAATGGATGGACCTGACACAGCCGAACGAACAGTCAGTGAGAAGATGAACCACACTTAAGGAAGGATGGACCAAAGGATCCACCGGATCCACACGGAGACTGGAATAGTGAAATATGGACTGGTGGAACACAGTATGACCAAGTGGAACACACACTGGAAAAAGACAGGCCCTGTGGCCAGCCCCACACAGCAGTAATGGATGAGGACTTAGGCATTTAACATGAACTAGTGGAATGAGGAAATAACTTAGGTATAGTAACCCCTGGATTGGTAGCACGGAACGAACACACAGTGTGGAGGAAGGACACATTAAAATAGTGAGGACATAACTGGACACAGAAGAAAAGACATTTGCAGGAGTGAATCAAGGACACATGGATTGGAGGACAGAAAGAAGGATGGATACATGGAAATTTAATGGAACGGAATTTAAGAAGAGAGAGGTAATATAGATGGTGGAAGAAGGAAGGAAGGAAGGAAAAGGATGGACACACACTGAAAATGGAAGTGGAGGAAGAATGGATGTATAGTGGATAATGGAAAGAAGGAATGCATGAGTGAAATGAAATATACGAAAAGGCATGGTGGACAAAAGGTGGAGGAAGGAAGGGAAGGAGAGGAAATAAATGGAGGAAATGGAGCCAAGCAGAACAATAATCATTATTAAATGGATGTTGCATTATTACTTCATTGAACAATGTTTTGATTAGCTACAGTAATATTTAATAGGGTATGGTTTGACACGATATGCAGAAGGTGATATTAGAAAATGAGCCCAGAACACAGGTGTTTACTTTTCAGATGGCCTCTAGTCTGGCAGGACTTGAATTCATCCATTGTTGTTCTGAAATCTAAAATGGGATTTCCATAGATCTATTTTGTAGTAGTGATATTTGATTTTAATTTGATTGATATCATTGGGCATGTTGGGTGTGACCTTTGGGTATGTTGCCTAGTCACAGGGAATGGACAGCTCACTGACATGTTGAAATGGCTTATCTTAGTGTTGCTGTTTGTTGCCACTAGCCACCTTCCAATAAAGCAGAACTGCAATAGTAAACATCAGAAACCACTTGGGTCAATTTAAGTCTTGTCCCTGATGAATATAAAAATGGTATAGACATTGTCTTGCCATGTGAGGAACATGGGCCCAGGAAAATGACCTCTAATCATACAACAGCATTCCCAACTTCAGACTGGGAACTATCAGTGATGTGCTCCCATTGTAGAGACATCTGCAGCCAAGCTGCTAAATGGTAAAGACCCGTGAAGGTCTGGATTAGAATACTGATCTTCAGTAAACCATGCTTGTCGTAAGAGGCGACTGACGGGATCAGGTGTTCAGGCTCGCTGACTTGGTTGACATATGTCATCGGTTCCCAATTGCACAGATTGATGCTCATGCTGTTGATCACTGGATTGTCTGGTCCAGACTCGATTATTTACAGACCGCCGCCGCCGCCATATAGCTGGAATATTGCTGAGTGCAATACAAAACTAAACTCACTCACTCTAAATGGTAAACCCTTTTATTCTGAGTTACTGCTACTGCAGATCTTGTGTTACTGTTTCCATGTGCGGGTCAGTCCATGTGATCACTGATTCAAACAAGCAGCAAATCATAACTTTTTTTCACAGAAGTAATAATACTATAGTCCATTTGGCTCAAAATCGGACCGATGAATTGCAGTCCAACTCGAAAACTGTCACTTTCTCTGCACTCCTCCCTCGTAACAAACAGTGAACTGTGTCAAGATTTTAATGATAGTTTGTTAAACAACTTTTTCATTTTGGGGACAAAAATTCTGCAAATAAATCACAGTTGGTATGATGTTTCGATTATGATCAGCGTTTCATTGAGTATTTTATGTTTATTAGTTTTCGAGTTAGTTTGCAATTCATCGGTCCGCTTTTGAGCCAAACGGACTATACATGGCAATGATTTCCCAGGTACTGAAATCAGAGTAATATAACAGTCCTACTAGTACTGATGATCTTATATCCAGGACCACTGGATCTCCACTGCCAAATTGTACTTAAGTCCAGTAAAACAGTTTCCAGTCTTGATAGACCCAAGAAGAAAGTGACCCTAAATTTAATATAAATAAATCAACCATTCATCCATACATAAAAAACAGGGCAAACACAAAACATTCATAAAATATGAGTAATGAATAATTTCTTCAATTTAGTGCTTGCCATATGCAGCAATGTGTGTAGCATGTGACAGGAAACTCACTAAAACTGAAATGTCTTGTTAATAGCATGATTGTTGATCATATCTAGCTTGTTTTGGTTACATGATATGTTTTCATTGTGCAGGCCTACTGTAGATTTTCTGGTGTTCCTGTGCGAGTGAGAAAGACAGGAAATACTTTCAGGTCCCCTTCAGGTATTTGCTACTATATGTTTTAACTGTATCTGATCAAGTGTGTCTTTTGGGGCTACAATGAACCCAGCAAATCATGGATATTGGATAACAAATGCAATAACAAGTCAGCAGTTGATGAATGTTTTATTCAATAACATTAGTCATAACATATAATTTTGACATGAATTGTTAACAGTGTTAATGTAACGACAATGACCAATAACCACTGTCAAATTAAATATATAAGAGTCTTTGCTTTTATCCTGACTGGCTTTGGTATATTTCATTTTGCATATGTCATTTTGATCAATAGTTTCAAGTAAAAACAGTTCATGAATATTTATTTCTAGAAATTCAAGTGATTGTGAATGACAAAATTGATTCATGAATGGATAGGTTTGATTCTCTGAATATGCAAGTGGGTTGTAACATCCCTAGTGTCTCCACATACAATATGTCATGGTATATGTGTCCAGCAACACAATATGTTTGCTATACAGATCATTTTAAGACTAAAACTCTCATTTCTGCCACTCAAGTTTCAGCAGGATTTGTTGAAAATATTTGGAAAGTGTGTCAGAGATGACACTTTTTTCTCAGATGACACTAAATGCTAACACTGTGTGTATGATCATACTATTATGCTGGTATGTTTATGTAAGTCTGCATATTTGACACATTAGGTACTTTCATGGTGATCTAGTTATTTATGTAGCTAACATTGATCACTGCTACGATTCCCATGTGATACATGGTACCATACTACCCTTCTTCTACAGGGGAGTTCCCCATGCTAAAGCATAAAGGTGTCACTGAGACCAAAGTTGCAGAGATACTCAGCTTTCTGCGTAAAAAGGTATGTAGTAAAATATTTATAGTGACTGATATTCTTTTGAGACTATCTGATGTTATTTGAATGAGAGTGCATAAAGAAAAGAATCATTTCATACAGAAATTTAGCAGACCATATGAACAATGTAATGATGGTAGTATGGAAATACGGTCTTTTTTCCATTGTCCAACAATCTCACCCAGTATGGAGGTAATGGGGTAGACGCATTAACATGGTTGCTTGTCACTTTGACAAATTCTGGTGTCCACTGCTGTGATATTGCTGGACATATTGTTAAAAACAGCATAAAACCTTGCTCAATCACTCACACAAAGTGGATGATGTGATACAGGTTTTCCATTATATTAATGTGCATATCCTCTTTTTCAGAACTGGGGTTCAGATTTTGAACTGTCCAACAAACAGAGTGCTGATGTGATAGCCTTCTCCTCACTACTGGAAGAAAAGCTACTGCCAGCTGTTGTAAGTCAGTGTACTGAGGCTAACATGCTCTCATCCCCCCCAGTCAGAACATATATTGTTGATGAAGCTTAGACCTTTAGCATTGTTTAATGACCTTATTGTGCCTTTTTTCATTTATACGATAGTGATGAATATATTCAAAATTATATTACTTACAAAGTAAATATTTTCAGCAAGATGTGTGGTTTGGGAAGCATTCGTTGAGTATTTGATCAGACTTACCTCCCTTGCGCTACATGTACAATTCCTTGGTAGGTCCCTGGTATTAGTCTACACCAGGGGACACTGAGGTGGGGTGGCCAGATGGTGAAAGTGTTCACTCATAACACTTAAAAAGCAAGTTTACATGAAAATAACCCTTTTTGTCTTGCACTTTTTCAGCAGAAAGTATTTATCTGCTAGTGTAAGTAGTTTCATAGTCAAAGCAGTACAGATTAGTGGTGTTCCGATTAATTGAAATAATCGAAGATTGATCGCAGTGACCAAACGCCCAAGCAGTCGATCACATTTTCTCATAATCGAACATAAACGATTTTGGAACTACTGTTTTAGTCTTTGAAATACTTGACAATGGAACATATCGTTGAAGTTGTCAGGGCATGAAAATGTGTTTAATTCTTAGAAAACTCACATCACTCACTGAAAAGCCATGACTGAATATTTCTTGAAGACTCCGAGAAGTTTATGTTCATGATATATTAGTCATCACTTTAAAGTAGCAAGTAGCATCATGTTATAAATATCTGCAATAACAACCTGGATAGGAAAATGTGAAAAATGACGCTAACCAATTTTTTTCGATGATTTTCGTTGGTAATGAAACAATCATCAATTGTGAGATTTCAACCAATTCCCAACACTAGTACAGATATCACAAGTAACTAATTTATCTTTTGCATATTTTGCACTTTAACCCAGAGTTTTATTTCCCAAATAAAGACAACATTGCTATGACAATGTCAACTGATAAACAGATGATGTCATTAGACCATATTAGACCAATTTCATGTGGTGTAGATACAGGTGTGTGGTTCTCGTTATACATTGTACAAATAGTGTTATAATGTTCATATTGCTGCATACTATGTGAACCAAATAGTATTACATTCAACTTGAGTCAGTTGTCTTTCTAAAAGTACCTTGTATATGAAAATCCAAAATGTATAAGAACTAGATTTACCTAGCCTTTGGTGAATGTGCTGATATTTGCTGCTATTCTGTATGAATGGTAAAATAGATGTCCCTCCTCTTTATCTCTTACTTTGATGTCAAAAGGACATACCCCCTGGTACAAATACATCACGAATATAAATGCACTTCAAAGTTCTGAATTCTGTTGGAAATTCTCATCTGTGATGTCATCCTCTCATTGTAGGGAGGGCAAAATTACTGAAGACAACATTCTCTGTAAATCTTGCCATTTTTGACACATTAGGAAACCATTCACAGTGTTATTTCGTGTACATCTTTTGAAATCTAAATATGAAATAATTACTTAGTAAATTGACTTTTAAGAAAGGCACTGAACATTCTGAAACATCATCGATGACCCTAAAATTGCTAGTATGGTTTTGGGAAATAAAAAAACATGAAAGATGAAGTGGACTTTCTGCCATATTGCAGTGTTTATAAACTCACGCAATACAAACATGTTACAATTAAATAAAAAATGGTCTTTGTCACCAGTACAAAATGTCAGTCAAAATTCCAAACTATACATTTACATTTACAAATTTATGTTTCATAGTTGTGACAAATATCTGGATTCTTGAGTAGGCTTCTGTTTCACGATACATATATTGATAACAAGGTTAAATATTATATATTAATGTCATATGTTAAATATTTTTCATGCTCTTGTCCCCAACGCGGAATGTATTCAGACTATGTATTCAGCAGCATCCGTCCGTATGTCCTGATTCTTGTTAACACGATATTTCATGAACTGTTGTACCCAATATCTTCACATATCTGGTGACAGTCTACATTGGGGGATTACACAGACACCAGTCGATTTGGGTGACCTTGATATTATTTTCAAGGTCACCACGACACTTTGACAGCTTTTCAAACTCTTGTTAACGCGATATCTCATGAACTGTAGTTCCCAATGTCCTCAAATTTGGTGACAGTCTACAGTGGGTGATGACACAGACAATAGTTGATGATGACACAGACAATAGTTGATTTTTGTGACTTAGACCTCATTCTGCTTGCAGTTGCACCTGTGGTGGATAGATGGCAAGACATTCACAGATTTTACACGGCCATGGTATGCTAGAATCATCCCATTCCCATTGAACTTCTATGTGCCAGGACGGAAACAGAAGGATGCAAACCTTCGTGTCTTCCTTTCTAAAGGAGGGGAGAATGTCACTGACAGTGAAGTTGAGGGGAAGATTTACAGAGATGCCAAGGAGTGTCTTAACCACTTATCATACAAGCTTGGTGATCAGGAGTTTTTCTTTGGGAAGACGTGAGTTCAGTTATCAAATATTCATTCTGTGCTTCATGATTGCCTGTATTTACTTTGAATGATATGCTTTTGCTTAATGGTACAATGAAGTACATGTAAATTCAAAAGTATTTAAGATCTCCTGAAACAAAGATTGATGCTATGGCAAACTGATCCCATTATTGTCCCTTTTGTGAGTGTGGCCTCCTGTCGTAGATGTTCTGACTTACTGATGTGTCTGTCTTTATGACCCGTCATGTTTTCCCTATCTCCCTGTCTGACTTTCTGTCACAAGTGCCTGATGTTGTTTGTGTTCACACAGACCCTCATCACTGGATGCGCTTGTGTTTGGCTATCTGGCCCCGATACTGAAGGCACCTCTGCCAAACAACCAAATACAGAACCACTTAAAGGGCTGTGACAATCTGTGCAGTCACGTCAACAAAATACTGCAGAGATATTTCCCTCCAGATCCAGAAGGTATTTATTTTGTTTTTAAGTCTTAGCAGGTGAAAATATAGTTGACGTTATAATGTCAAACAGTAACAATACAGAAACTTTAACTCAGAGTCATTTTCAAAATAATTGCTCATTTCGTTATGAAATATTGTGAATCTCCACACTGATACATCCAGAATTCAGTATTCTGTGCTTTTTGCAGGCAAACAGAGATAAAATTAATGTTTTTGTTAGAAAGATCTTTGGAGTTTCTGTTATGGCTTGGTTTAATAATTCACCATGTTCAGCTGTATTATAACAGTGTATTCAATAACACATGACTAAGCATCAGTGTCTCTTCATCTTGGTCCTGTTAGCATTGGAAGATATGTTGTCTCTGCTGAACCATATACCATAACAGTATTGTGTCACTAGTTCTAGTCCAATATAGGCTTTCAACTGTCATATAGTGAGAACATAAGGTTTAACCTAAATTTGGACCTCTAAACATGTCTTAATCAATCTCTCCATCTGACAGCATCCATGCATTCTCTAACACTACAGTACACATAAAATGTGCCTGCAAGCTGGAGGCGTATGCTTCCAACAACACCTCACATTTCATCTATCTTTGATAGGCTGAAACAATTTTGCCTTCAGGGTATTATGTTAAATATAGAACATTCGGCACATGATTGAACATTGACAGGGCTAAAACATGAGCACTGTATGTACCTTGGCAGTTGTGTCATTCCAGCACCTGATATGAGTGGTAGATTAGTGGCACCACTACAAGAGGGAAGATGACTCCTGGAAGTATGGCAGTCCTATCACCCAAGGTGTTTGTCCATGGTCTGCTACAGTATACCAGGACAGCAATCGCAGAAGGCTTGACCTTGGCAATGCTGTATGTTTTTTAGTCAGTTGGGAGCACGATTTAAAGTCCTGTGTTACAAAGATCAGGTGCCCCAAAGGACATTAAGAAATCTTGCCATGAACTTTCACTTTCATTGCCCTGAATCCGTGTTGCTTATTGCACTACATCTCAAGCAGCAATGGAGGAGCCATGTTCCAAGTTCCAACCTTAATTTATATAGAGACTCATCTTGTCATTTAAACATGGCATAAGTGCTTAGTAGACACAAGATATATTTTACTCAGAAAATGAGTAACATATATATCAGGGTTTTGACTGCCACAATACTGTGTTGTGTCATGTAAGCAGGCATATGAAAGCCAGCCTAGCCAAACCAGCAAACGGGGCCAATGTGTCATAAGGTTGCAGGAGTTATCTCCCTTCAACTTCAGCTCTGAAACTAGACTCAAACAAAGTGGCACCAGTGGCTATATTTTGTGTTAGCTCAATTCTTTCCAACTGACTAATCTGATTCCACATTTCATACTAGATGCTTATGGTCTTCAAGATGAGTGACCTTCCTTGCTGATGGTTCACTCAGTATGCTCAGTATCCACATAGAATAAAGTATCGCACATTTAGGTTGTACAAGCAATGTCATTGAAAGGTGTTGGTTAATGGGTGTCTGTCACCAATGGAGAGGGTGAAATGGTGTCCAGCATGGTATCAAAGAATCTCAACTCTGATTGTTCAACATGCTGGATCATCCTGTGTAATATACCTCTATTTTATTATGACAAATACCCTCAACCCATTGTCCACCATACATTTGTCAGCATCTATCTTGCCTGTTTTTAGCATCAGGACATATGAATCAGGTTCAATATGAAGCTTTTCCAGAGTCTTTACAGAATTGAGAAACAAGCATAGGATAATCGTGGATGATTGTCAAGTAGCTTGTCTACATTGTATCATATACATGGAATTGAAGTAATGGTGACTTAATCTTTGTTGTTATCTAGAGCAAGAAGCAAAGCGGAAGAAAGAAGCAGAAGAGAAACGTCGTAACACAAACACTGATGCTGCAGAGTTCCCTAACAAGAAGAGGAATATGGTTCTAGCAGCCATCTTTGCACTGACCACAATGGTGGGATATGCATTCATGAGTGGACTCATACGACTGGACTTTGCGGAAGAAAAGGCAGACACTCAACAAAGTCAGACCAAACCCCCAGACTTCCAGGCATTTGACCAGATGTTTGAAGATGAAGGCGACAATGAGGAAGAGTAGACGCCACTAAGTGTAGCGAACAAGAGCAGTGTGTCCAGGTATGGAGCCATGACTACAGATGGAGGCTGACCATGAGCAAGCATTTAGGTGGTAGCTTGAACAGTGTCCTACACAATCCTAGCTGTCATGTGAACCAGTGTGCTATTCAGTTGACCTCAGTTGTGGGGCCGTCATCTAGGTCACAATATCCGTAGTCAGTTCACACAGTCTGGTTGTGGTAGCAGGCGATGTTGCAGTCAGAGGAAGATCTCATAAGGAACTGTAGTGTCTGTGTTGCTGTTGCACGATATAAGCTGTGTATATATGTTTGAAGAGAAGTATGGTACATATCTTGTTTATAGTGTATACTTCCTTCACTGAGGGTGCTGGGCATGTAGATGTGTGGAAATGTGTGACTGAGATATCCCCAAGATCTGCATGTTGTGTACACTTTGCAAATATGTTTGAAATATTGCATAAACATTTCCACTGGAACTGCATTTTTGTTCTTCTTCCAACACGGCCTTGAATTTGCTACAACCAACCAAGTGGATCATTCTCAAGGTTTATTCTAACATGACATTTTAGAATCTGACTTTTTATTGGTTTGTCAGCTGTATCTTATCTGTCTTAGAAGTTAGACCACTTATTAGCAGAGTGGGAATGTAGAGTCTGTTTTTACATCTGAAACCTAACAAGTAATCCCATGAACAGGTTGAAGTTTAAAGGTATCCAATTATTCACTCACACCAATAAATCACTGTAAATAAATCACTGCATAGCATGTTTATCTCCTAAATATTCAAAGGCAGTAGAGGACTCTATTACTTCTGCCTTGCCCACAAGAGATTCTGAAAGGCAATTTCATTAAATCAGATCATTTTTGTCAGATATGAAAGATTGTTTATAGATACATGAAATTATTATTATATTATAAATATATATTTCACCTCTTCCCGAAGCATTGGGAGTTACCCGAGTCCACTTTCCACTATTGACATACTGTCTTTTGTGACTCAATCTAAGTGGCACCAGTGGCTATATTTTGTGTTAGCTCAAGTCTTTCCAACTGACTAATCTGATTCCACATTTCATACTAGATGCTTATGGTCTTCAAGATGAGTGACCTTCCTTGCTGATGGTTCATTCAGTATGCTCAGTATCCACATAGGATAAAGTATCACACATTTAGGTTGTACAAGCAATGTCATTGAAAGGTGTTGGTTAATGGGTGTCTGTCACCAATGGAGAGGGTGAAATGGTTTTTGATTGAAAGTATGAAAAGATTTTGAAGATATCTGTCAAACAATGTTGATGGTACACATGCTCCGCAAATCCTCCAAACAATCGAAATCTCAATGGTAGTCACCATGTTGATAAAACACAATATTACACTGGACACTGCATAGACACATTAATCCATTCAAAATATTATTCAGCAAGGGTGAAAAGTGGACTTTAGTCAGTTATCTTATTTGCCCCAGGACAGCTCCACTCTAGTGAACTTTGAGCTAACTTTGTATGTCCAATCAAAATGAAGAATGCACAGGAACTTGAACTTTCTAAAGCAATTCAGGTTTAGTTTGTTTAACACACTGGGATTGAGAAGTTTCAGCCTTAGTTAAAGAACACTGCACCAGAACACAAATGTACCCTCAATAGTAAACCCTTAGCATGTAGATGGTATTTCTCTAAGAAACAACAGCATGTATTTATGACTTCTCACAACTTTGCGATGACTTACTTAATAGTTTTTAGGTACAGAAATCGGATATATACTGCTGGAATAAAGTACATGTAACTACATTATTTGATGTTATGCCATTCTTTAATGCATACCATGATTTGTGGAGTTTTCCTTAATCAATATTTAACTGTTGAGACGATGGGCGGTGGAGTTCGCTAGTGGTTAAAGTGTTCGCTCGTCACGCTGAAGACCCGGTTCGATTCCCCACATGGGAACAATGCCTGAAGCACATTTCCGGTAACCTGCGCCATGATATTGCTGGAATATTGCTAAAAGCGGCTTAAAACCATACTCGTTCACTGTTGACAGGGTACTATCGAAATCTGTATGATTTGACACTAGCTAGGTATTGTGACATGCCCTTGAAGAGATATGGTGTGAAAGGTCAGTTCACAAATTCAGTATCGTGTATGTCCACCATTAGTGTTGATGCAGACTTGACAACGACGACACATGGACGACACTAAGCGATTGAAGAAAGCTTTGGGAATGTTGATCCATGTCTGAACCAATGCTTGTCCCAACTCGGCTAACATCAATGGCTGATTCTGGACTTTACTTAACGTCTCTCCATTTCATCCCAAGCGTGCTCGACAGGGAACAGGTCCGGAGAAACAGCGGCCAGGGGAGAACCGAAATGTTCTACTGTATCAGGAACTCTGTCAAAACATAAACGACATGCATGTGGATGGGCAATATCTTGCTGTTGCGTGAAGTTACGTCTCTGCCCTTGATTGAATGGCTGCACATAAGACCCAGTGATCTAATCCATGTATCGCAGATTGCCATTGACAATGACAAGTTGTGTTCGACCATACCATAACGCTTCTGCCACCAAACTGTCCATGTTGAACAACGCACTTGTCAGCATACCGTTCACTTCGATGTCTGTTCACCCTTGCCCTGCCATCTGAGCTGTCAAGATGAAATCTCGACTTGTCAGTGAACAAAACACCATCCCAGTCTGGTCTCAAGTACCGTAGATGCTGTCAGCACCAGGCAAGACTTGCCTGCCGGTGAAGTTGGTGAAAAATTGGACGTATTGCAGGCGTATTGTTGTGCTCCCTCAGTCGGTTCCTTGCAGTCGTGGAACTGATTGTACGTAAACCAGGACATGTAACATCAGATTTCACGCATGTTTATTTAGGATTATTTTTATAACTTTTTAGATTTTATGCAATATTATATTATGCAGGACTACTTTTTCCCATTAGTATACTGAGTCAAAAAAGAAACTTCACAAAATGTAATTTGGAAAATAATGAATAATTTTACTCTGATGATACATCTATGTATCCGAAATGGGATCCCTATCTTTCGACTCTAGAAAAACGTTAGCAAAACCCACTCAAACCCATCCATTCGTCGTGCAAATGATGTTAGTGCCAAATCAGGTTTTGCACGTGCAGTCGATCACGTGATCTTCGCATCGAAGTTTTCTTCATATGCACGTGTTTGCATTGGCCTCAAGAATTGAAAAAATACTTTTAAACCACAGTTGTAACGGTACTTGAAATGCCACGATTGTCAAATGTGCAACGTGAACGTGCCGTTGGCATGTTGCAAGCGGGAAGATCAGTTATCAGGGCTCCCACAGGTCAGGGAAAAGTCAGGGAAATTTGGCATTTCTCTGAAAGTCAGGGAAAAGTCAGGGAATTTTGATATGTTTTCAAAAGTCATGGAATAGTCAGGGAATTTGGGGTTTAAGTCAGGGGAATTTAGGGTTTTGGTCAGGGAAAAATAAGACTCAGAATGTCGCTAATCAGGTATGGTAGTAGTCAAAGTCAAAGAAGCAGCACATGTTACAGACATTTCATGAAATAAATTACAGTTCAGATAAGAGATTGCTTTTAAGCATAACAGCATGTTTTACATAAAGCCCTAGATTACATATTACATTTTCATTTCTGGAGGATAGAATGGAAACAAAGTCACTTGAAGGATATTTTTTACAGATAATTATTTGGCATGTATTGTTTTCTTAAATCAGCATAATGTGAATTTTATCTTCTACAGCCGGGTGACATAACAGACATATTCTTCTATGAAGCACAATCGGTTGGATTTGTGAATCAAACAATATGAAACATATTTTCCTGGTTAAAATTCCAAAATTCTGGGAAACTGACATAAATTTGAAAAGAGCCTTCTTAGCATGAATGCGGCGACGCCTTGCCCGTCTGTCTGTCCGTCCGTCCGTAATCATTTTGTTTCCGGAGCATAACTCGAAAACGGTTCAATGTTTTTAACAAAACTTTGCAGATATATCAAATAGAACCTAAAGTGGTGCCTTTGACTATTTACATATTTTTGTCATTTTTATTTTTCTTGGTTGCCATTGAAACGTTTTAGACTGTTCTTAAAAGGGAGTGGTGGGCTTTGTTTCCGGAACACAACTCGAAAACCGTTTAATATCTTTCAACAAAACTTGGCAGATATATCAAACAGAACCTAAAGTGGTGCCTTTTGCTATTTACAGATTTTTGTCATATCTATTTTTCTTGGTTTCCATGGAAACATATTGGAATTTGTCTTAAAAAATGAAGTTCAACTTTAAGTAACTGTCAGATGATTTGCTCTTTCATATTTGTATGGGCTGGGGATTTGTCATCTTCTGATGACTCTTGTTTAGTATGGAAAAACACTAATCCGAGATAGTGATTAACAATAGATAATTGTTTGCCATTCAAAAACATTTTTCTTTATAGGCAACAGATCCACCTCTTCTAAAGATAACTATGTTAACAGATAATTTTCCATTCATTAGTATACTGTTCAAAAATATATATGATAAATAGTATGATGGCTATGGTGGTTTCTTGCAAATTGTGAAAGCCCATATTGGCCAAAAATACCCATATGTTTCATTGTTAAAGTACAGCATAGGTTTATAATATGCCCTATGTTCTGACATTTGCTGTTTATTCACAAAATTGAAAGTGGTTTAATGATGTTCATAATCTAGTTGTCATGGTTGTACTGAATGTAAAGTTATATCTTGCGTTTGGGATGCACTTGGGAGAAGCATCAGGCAGTCGATGAGGAGACGGTGTTTGGCAGTGGTGAATGCGCGGGGCGGCCATACACGATATTGAACTGAGGAATTTCGCATATTTATACCCATGTTTTGGAACGGCGGTGTAGCCTAATAGAACTGATTATGGCACTGTCAGTGTATCGAGAACATCACACAGATCTCAGCAATGAAATAATAACAATTTAACCATCTTACCATCTCTTGTTCTTTTATAGTGCCCTGAAGAAAGAATGTGAAGTTTCTTTTTTGACTCAGTATATATTTGTCTGAATGCATTGCTTACAAATACCCCAGGTGATTGGCTTGTTAGTAGATTCTCTTGACAAGGCGCTTATGGAGGTGCCCTCAAATCTTCACACAGAGAGGTATCTATCTGTAAAGGCTTTCAATGAGAATGAGGAACATGTGGTTACAATGTTTGTATGGGTAATTTCAAATGCCTGTGTGAAAAAGTGTTCACGTTGTCATTGTATACCGGATACACTGACAGATTGACGGTAACATGTATTGTATATTTTACATGAACAGCAGGTGTTCCTACTTCTGCAATAATCAGAATGTGTATGTTCTTCAAGAATTGTTAAAACGCGCCAACACTTTCCATTTTACATACCCGTGAAGGCCCGGGTTATAATTAATCTTCAGTAACCCATGCTTGTGGTAAGAGGCGACTAACGGGATCGGGTGGTCAGGCTCTCTGACTGGGTTGAC